AAACCCGATACAACGGCTAGTCCATGAAATAATTAACTTGTCGACATCATAATAAGGGCCAAAAATCTAAGCCAACATTACTCTAAATGGGCCTGGGTTCTGGTTTGCGCACATCGGGCACGCCATTTCTTAAGACCTTGAACCGCTAATTAATTGTACAGAAGTTAGCAAAAAATATCTTGCTTAGGGCAGTTGTCAATGATTAGCCAATTTCAAAATACTTCTTATTTTCTCAGAGAAGAGAGCAAAACCATATATAAAGTGTAATCTTAAGTAGGTACCAATTTAGAGCCTTTATTATATTATAATGTGGCCAAATTTTTACGGTAATAAAAATAACGAATCTGCAAAAAAGACCGTAATTGCTTGCGTTTTCCAGGCTTGTCAACTGACTGTATTGAGGAGTGAACACCTGACTACATTTTAATGATCTGACTATTAAGAGAGCGCGTAAAGTGTAGACACTTTATTGCTTCCTGACAGATAGGAGTCATAATAACCGTGACTGCTCGTTGACGGTATTTGGTGATACTTTACGCCTTTTGTATCTAAAGCCTAACGTGGTAATGTTGGATTTATGGAACCGAACGGCATGACCACGGCAAGACTCATCAGGTCCCTTTGATACAGCTGCCGTCAATAGCAACGCCATTATGTAGCATCTGGATATGTCATAAAAAAGATATGAGCGAATGCTCTCATCCTAAGGCCCTCTGTCCGATGTCAACGATGACGGAAAATAAGAATGCCTGCAACTAATGTTGGATGATGGACATAATCACAAGTTCATGATGGATGCAATTGAGCCGAAGAATATACAAGCTCGCACCCTTTCGCGAAGAAGTTAGAATACGACTTAGTCTGCCGCCGTCGTTGTTTTCAGGAACAAGGTTGGTATCTCGGATCGCGAATTCGTGGGTGTTGACAATGATCTACTCAGCACAGAAACGTGTCGAAAACACTATACAGCAATAGGGATCCGTGCACCATGGCTTGTCTCGCACTCTATAGATTGAATCGGCTTTCTACAAACCTAGTGACGATTACAATGTCCCAAAATGCTAGATATTTCAATTTCCTCTAGTTAACATTACAGAAATTAAGCATCAGGCATCAAAGTTCTAACACTATGTTTTTCACACTCTTAACTGTAGACTCCGTTGTACTACTTAGACAAAATGTTTTTTTACAACGTTTTTTTTTGCAAACGCTTCTTCTTAAATTTGCTTTTAGACCTTTATTAGGTGTATTTCAGCAAACCTGATTTTTTTGAGTGGTAAATTTTGTTTCCTGTCAATGTTTGCCATGTATTGAAAATCACGGCCATAAAAACCTAAATAACGAAAACGTATTGTGCGATATCTACAGGGTTGCAGTAGTGGCTACAAAGCTCAAGGGCTATATCAAGGGCGCACTGTCGTCCGTTTATGGATCGACATGGCCCTTCGGGAGGAAGCTTCGAAGGAGGCTTCAAATGGCTGTCGATCCAAGTGAAATTGAAGTAAACCATCACCACCTTCAGTTGAACGATGATTGATTTATTAGATCGATGTGACCATCGTCTGTGATACATGTGCTGTAGACTCGTTCTTGTTTTGTTTGCTTCATTCAAACATGACCTGAACGTAGAGCTGTTTCCGTAATTGATATGGCACCATGACACGGTCACCTGTGTATTGTAAATGGATCGTGGATCATGTCTACTGCAAGAATATGTTAAGGAATCGACCAGCAGTTAAACCATTCATATTACGCATAACGACAATGTGTCTGGATAGCTAAGGTTTTATTTACGTTTGTAAGTACAGCTGTTTTTTCAGCGATAGCGATTAGTTTGTTGTCTATGCGGGTCGCACCTGTCCAAAATCAAAAGTTCTGCTACACTGGATATCAATGCCCTGGAAGGACAAACGCAGCTCAAGGCCGTGCATGGTCCTACCGCTACAGAGAGCGAAACACCGAAGCCGAAAATCGCCAAAAAATCATTCGAAATAAAATTGCAGCATGCGAGTAAGAATTGCCTTAAAATATTTTTTTCTTTTTTTGTAATTGTTCACCAATAGAACTCTCAATTGTCGGCCAAAAAATTTTCTTTTAAAAGCGTGTATCTACATACAAAGATATTTGACGGTGAGTGATCTTCACACCAGGTAGAGTATCGTAGTCTCGTTAGCTATGAGTAAGACGATTGTTGCTCTGGCGACGTGAACGAGGAGATCTTGTTGGCCTCCACGATTGTCTGCTTTATAATTAATCAGTGATCACGGTTCCTGCAGACTTGGTACCGCTAACTTCTGTAAGAACAGTTTGCTTACTAGTGATAACCGCGGCACTGTGTAGAAAGCGTCTCTAATCGTACGCCTATTCTGCACCTCTGAAACGAATGGTTGAGAAGACAGAACGCGACATTTTTTATTATGTGCCAGCTTGTTCAACCCATTTGAACATTTGAAGCCCATTAAACTGATATTTGCCATGTCAATTTTCCCCATGAAGACTATTCTCAATATAAACGTTTCTCAGGCGTTGGCTGATTAATTACTAGTGAGAATTCACGCTTGAATATTTTATTATGGTACGATAAGTTTAGTAGTTTACCTTAACAAAAAAAAATAGAAAGCGATCTTTTGAACGCTTGTCTAGTGACAATTGGAAATCCTCAGCCTCTGCCGATTAATTAGACAGCAAGCCTTCATAGTGCGAAACACAATTTATCCAGACGGAAAACTTGGTGGGGCTAGTTACCTTGCATGTGTCCTAACGTCAACAGCTAACACATAGTTTCTCTTTATCAATCCTTATGATTCCTCCGCATAATTCCTGAGCCCATCTTGTGTTGCCGTATTATCTATAGGGTTACTTAGTAGCTGCGCGCCATCATTGGCATTTGGTATCAATTTTTCGGGATACTGCAACAACATATACCACAAAATCGTTAGCATGATGGTTGGGCTAGACCTTACGTTTAGCAGTCACTATGAAGGCAAGCAATGACAGGTTGGCATCCTTCCATAGTCAGCAAAAGTCCAGCTAACTGGAAATACATTAGCAGAAGTCGTTTCCTACAATTCCTATAAACGAAAGTAATAGATGATCGATGAATAGCTAAGACCAAACAAAATTAACTAAATATGTCCACTCTGAAATGTCGCCAGTAGTAGTTAAATCACTACAAAATCTCCATCTGCTGAACTAAGAGGTTTTCACGCTAATATTCCCTGACACTAGACAGGCTTGAAGTTGTTTCGTAATTACAATGACTAGATAACTGTTGCTATTAGCTATTGTCATGATTCTGTGACTGAGTAACTAATATGCTGAAACCTATTGCTTTAGGCTGAAGAGTCTTCAAGTAATTATTTCACCTGCGCGTTGAAATGGCCTTTTCGGACACGAAGTAAAATCCCTTTTGTACCATGATCTTGACAACAACAGTTCCTATGACGAAAACGCGTCTATCATCAAAATAAAGAGAAGGCAGCCACGCCCCCGAGGGTAACCAAGCTTATCATCTCTGGTTAACTTTTACCCCATTATTATTTATTACATATTTATAAACTATTACTACAAGTTGCATTGGATCGCGTTCGGCCGACCTCGTACCCTCATGTAAACCGATACAGATACTGACCTCGTTGTATGATATCCTGGTGTTTGTTCATCTAGATACAGGAACATAATCACTGATCTGCGTCAAAATATATTTGATCGAAAATGCGCGAAGAAGTCTTTTGGCATAATTTATAACGTGTTAACCAATACGATGATTTGGTTACGCTAAACATTACGTTTGATACTAAACACATCGATACGCGACAGTAAAGTTGTTACACTTGAGAAATTGTTGAACCTAACAACTCAATTGCTAATGTCGTTGAAGGCTTTACGAGCATCGGCTTTTAGAGGTAACAGAGAATCTCGCGAGCCGGCTTCTAACGTCGTCATATGATCAGGACGATGTAACTACATTTGACATCTTGGCAAATCCAATGGCACGATCCCAGTCGACTGGACCGGTTACTATTTAAAGATACTTATAGGACGTCTCGCTAAAAAGGGTTGGCTGGAATCTACTGTGTGAAGAATATCGCTATGTTCAACAATCACTTTAATCTTAGTTTCAATTTTGTCATTGGTATCTACATCCGTCTATCGTTCCGTGCGCAGACGACAACGCCGGTACGTGTAATGGTTATACGGTTGGTTATGTGACTAGTCCTCATGAGAAAATTGATATGATTGAAAAACACCGGTTTAATAGGTTTCGAGTGTTTAATGAGAGCATGTGGGTTGAATGGTATGTAAGGAAAATAAAAAAAGTCGCGTTTGTTTCAGAGGTGCAGAATAGGCGTACGATTAGAGACGCTTTCTACACAGTGCCGCGGTTATCACTAGTAAGCAAACTGTTCTTACAGAAGTTAGCGGTACCAAGTCTGCAGGAACCGTGATCACTGATTAATTATAAAGTAGACAATCACGTCACCGGAGCAACAATCGGAACATCATCATGCACACGTCTTACTCATAGCTTTTGGCACGACGAGACAACGATACTCTATCATACCACATGTTTCCTGATGTGAAGATCAATAACCGTCAAAAATCTTTGGTTTGCCCAGAGGCAACAGATCTATTGACACTTCTGTGTATGTCTATATAAAGATGGACTGAAGAAAAAAAGCGGAAATTGCTTTCCTTGGCATTAAAAACAGTGTAGTATTGCCTTGAAATATATATATATATATATATATATATATATATATATATATATTGAGTATTCCTCCCTATCTGGGAGGAATACTTAACATACATCTAGTTGCGGATCCGATTTCTGTGAAGCGAACGCAGGCAAGGCAGCCGCTTTTAAAAGCTGAGATTTCTCTGAACTAACCCTCCACGCCGCCACAGGCTATGAAACCTCAAAGAGTTTATTATTCGTGGCACCATGAAATGCACCCTAAAGAAACAAAGCTTTATCGTATTTCTTGCAATACGTAACAAGTTTATTTACCAATTTGTACATCTCTATCCAGTTTATATTAACATTTTATTAATGCTACTGTCCGAGCTTTGGCGGAAAGATAGTCGAGAGTCGTTTCAATGAAGTCAGCCATTGAAGTCGTTCACGATATACAATGGATTCCATCATCGACTACGTCTTCATGACACGTCTGCAAAGTTGTTATTTAATCGTTAGTTCTGCTCGATTTTAATTAATTTCATACTCAACTGTTTTTTTTTCCGAACAAGTTCAGTAATGGTTGCTATTTAAAGGACTGAATCAGGATGCCAATCTGCGTAAACGAAAATGCCAGACGTGCAAACATCTGTATTATTGTTCACACATTTTATATTTCAATCGATGTGATGCTCTACTCAGTTTCTTGCGGCTTTCTACCTCATAACTTGGTTTAACTACGTTTAAGGCTTTATTGTGCCTCGCTAGGTTTTCGGTTCAAAATGTAATGAAACGGGTACTGTTTAGATAATACTCGACGCGGGTTAACCCCCAGCGTGGTTCTGTGGACCTTTCTTCCCCCTAAATCCTGTACTCTTTTCAAGTTACTTCAGATCTACTTAACAAGCACGTTGGACAACTATCTTACCTGATACCCGGCCCAGCGTCATAAGCTCTCAGCCGCCCAGGCTCCTAGCGACATCCTGCATAACGGTGTGCTTCTAAGAAGGTTTTTCGTTGATATCCGGTATAGGTAGGAATACTCAATGTCGCAGGCGCGCCAGGCCATAGCGAGACCGGTTAAAGCTAACAGACTACTCAACGAAGCCACGTAGAAGGCCCAAAAAAGATCACATTTTGGACCAGTTTGAAAGGCCGCAGCAGACTCTCCACACGCTTCGCGCGCCTCCAAGTTGTTTAGGCCCATGGCAAAGCACACTAATGCAGCTAACTGTATAACACCTGCAATGTACCAGAGAGGCACAAAAAAGCAAAAGAGATTCGGATTAAGAGATGAGGTGACTCGCGAGAAACGGCCAAAAATATAGTGGCGATCTTCTCTGTTCGGTCGTTCATTTGATCGTTTGCCTTCTTGCGCAAGGTATACATACAGAAACTCTGAAAGGCCACTCGAGGTAACGGCAGACGACTATATATACAGACAGAGGTGCTCGTTTTTAAGTGGTAGCGGAAAACAGCGGAAGTGGGGAATAAAAGGTCGGAGTGAAACAAATGCATATGCATATACGTATACGTTGACGCCCTGACGCCGTTTACGCACGGCAGCAGCTAGATATGTGGCTTAGAGCTAGAAAAAATCGTAGAGTTCGCAAATACGTTACGCCATACTAGCTTCAACTAAGCAGATAGGAAGCGGCGCAGCGCGGCATGCTTTTAGTTTGCTTCTGTCGCTCCTCCAGCTTTCGACTCTAATACCAGCATCATTATTGCCACTGCTAAACTGCGTAGTGATTCGACGTATTGCACGAACCTTCTACGTGCTAGCTAGGCACGTTGCAGCTCGTGTCACCCTCAGGCTAGTTGACACTTTATGCTGCTGTGGCTGTATATTGCGTTGCTCCAGTCCTTTTATTCTTCTTATTCGGATCTGTTCTATCTGGAAAGGCTAATCACTTCAAATCCGGTTGTGCTCCACTTTTTTTTTTTCCTGACTACAAGAACAAGCTCTGCTCATTACCAATTTTCTCACCCAGTCACATTGTAATGGGAGAACTGTTACCTAGGCGACTGAATGGGGGCGTCGACAGCATTGGCGGCCACGATCTCCGGTCGAGACAAACGACATGAGGAGAGCAGAAAAAAAAATACTTGTAGGAAGCGAAACAACGAAACGTAGATGAAACACAGCTGGGAATAACATAACGAGGCCGAAATAACGCAGCGATGGATGAAGAAAGCGAGATGAACCTGTGAACTGCTCTTCGCTTACAAGATGGCCGGACAGAAGCATCTAGTCGACCCGGCCATGCCCACCTGGGCCGCAAGCCAACTGAAAAAGGGAATGGAAGATAGGCTAATCATTTCGGCACTGCTTGCGCTTTTCTACAGAGTATCAGTCAATGTGGCTGGTAAATTTTCCACGCAATTAATGCGGCCGACACCCCTTTCAGCCGATGCTCCTCCAGACCAATCCTTACCTTTTTAAATTTTTTTTAGCCTATGCCTTTGCAGAAATATAGGCAACGCATACGGGACGTATGGCCAAAGTGCTGAAGCTGATATCAGCGCCCGTGCGGCCATAAACACCAACACTTTTTCGTCCCTGTAAGTAGGAAGCTCTGCTTTTACGTGTATATTGACGGGCGCCGTGCGACCCCTCACTCAGGCTCTCTGGGAATAGGCCTCTCCACGCAACCACACGGCTAAGATCGGTTGGTGGATGGTTTCGTTGAATCTCTTGTTATCGATACGATTTTGTGTTTATTGCTTGAACGGGTTAGTAGCGAAGGACATTGACACACTGACACAAATAGTATAAGAAAACGAAAGGTAACGCTTTGTCTTGTATTTGCAAAACCATAGGCATTTCCTTCAAAGAGTTTAAGGGTCGCCTAACGAATTCTGCGTCGCGATGATGGGGTATACGTAATGCGTCTGTGTACGTTATCTTGTGTTTACATGTTTTTGCAATGTCCGTGCATGCCCGCAACTTGTGACAATGAGGCGACGGGAGAGGAGAATATGGAACATACATTTCTGTACCCATGCATACGACCCACGAAATCTACCCTGCCTGCTAGTAGGTTCTTTTGATTCGCGGTTTGTTCCTGCTACAGGTGGATTCCTGTACGTAAAACGCTAGCCAGCTGGCTCGGTTCCCAAGGCACGCGCACGCCGCCAGCGAAGCGGAAACGGCTAAGAGCGACTACAGTTCCCATGTCAGCGGCAGTAGAAGCAACAGCAACAACAACAACAGTAGTAACGGCAGCAAAAGAAAGCGCCTTCCGCCACTGGTTGCCAACCATCATAAAAGAGACCTGAATCGCAGTAGGAGCCGAACCGGGCTCAAAGTGGGGTAAATGGCTGCGTGGGAGAGGCGCAGGGAGAGGGCGGCCTGCCGAGGATCCACCAAAGAGGAATAGAGGCAAGGCGGCGTTAGCGAGGGTTCGTCTCCAGAAAACGTAGAACAACCGCTTATGACTGAGTAGCGCAGAAGCTTTACGGCCTGCTAGACCATTATAGCTTCACAACGGGTGGCTTACCTCGGCTGGACTTCACCCTCAACTTGATCTACGCTGCTGGTGGCAGCCGAAGCAACGGGTTCGGCATTACCTCGTTGGAGCCCACCGTACGCGATGGGTCACGCAAATCTTTATGCAAAGGTTGACAGGCGTACTTCTTCTCCACCTAGCTCATCTTTCTTATTCTTGTCGTCGTCCCGGCCAAACGAGCTGGTAGCTCTGATTCCCTCTGTAGACACTACTCACTATCCGTATATACTACGACCGCTACAACTACTAACCAAGCTGTCTGCGATAAAAACCAGTGCCAGCAGAGCCACAAAAGGCAAAACAGACATGGCCAAAAGCACCGTTCAGTATACAGAGATCATTTATAGAGAGCGCAAGAGAAGGGAGTAGGATGACAATTCAGAGAAGTAAGTGGTCTATTAAATGGTCAATTTAGGAAGAGATAGGGGTGGAGCAGTTGTGTTCAAACTAAAACATAGTTGCAGTAGAAAATAAAAGCCGAAAAAGCCACACAGACAGATAATAGTTACAAGGGGCAGAGCGGGCGGGAATGGCACGTTTCTCTTGTGCCTATATGGTCAATTACTTAGACGTTTTGCCACCGGCGACTAATACCTGTGGCGGAATAAAGCGCAGAGGACAAAGTCACAATCTAGGCTAGATACAGATAGAGAATACACGAGTACGTTAGTAACGCGATTTTCATATAAATATATAGTTGAAAATAAGTGATTTGCTTAGGTAGAGTGTAATCGTAGAAGTCGTAGTGAAGGTTGTGTATATATTTATATGTAAACTGCCGCATAAATTAACTCGATGATATATAGATATCATTGAAGTGCTGAGAGCATGATGACTCTGTGATGAGCAATGCTACATCACTCTATGCTCACGAAGACTGTCGGCGACGACTGAAGACCGCAAATTCGACTTTGTGCCCTCTGATCATTCCCGGCTTCAGCCTGTTGACTGAAACGAGGGACGGGTGCATGCAAAAACACCCTTCTCAATAACCTATACTTTTGCTATTTCGATAAGGGACAGGGACACATCTTAGCATAGCTTCATGCCAGTTTATCAAGCCAGCTTCAAAAGGCAATTTATACATATATGCGTGTGTATCCTTCATTTTCTCAGTCAGCTCATTATGATGATGACGCGTGTGTTATAGAATACTCGGCTTACCAGAATGTCACTATAGAAATATCGCGAACATTGCCCACGGCACAAACTCGAACCCGACAAGCATCTAAGCAGCGCTGATATTTTACGTTGCATCTGTCGTTTTGATTACCTATGTTGAGCATGGCAGTTATCTTCAGTTTCAGTCTGCAGACTTCCACTAACAGTGAACATAAAAGATTTCCGTAGAAAGTATTTGCTTCCACGATAAAGGAAGACAAGGCAGACGATCAGAAGATCTAAGCGCTACGCGCGACTATTGCTGAAACAAAGACGCCATTGAATGAGGCGGTACACTTGGGAGGAATGATGTGGCTGGGCTACAGCCAACGTCAACGTTACGTACGCATCGTGGCTAACAAGGCGCAGGAAACTGAATTACGCGACGGAAACGAATAATATGCAGCAGACCACAATCGCTACGTCAAACAGAGCGTGACAGGGAGAGAAAAGGGAATGCGAAATCAAGCGGCAGCGGAGCGCATGGACACTTCATTTGTGTATCTGGCGCGGCATCATTCTACCAACTGCCATAAAAGAAAAACAAAGTTATACTAACACGGGAGCGAACGGTACTTTGACAGCAGTGTTTTGTTGCGCGTAGTGCTGTGCTTATATGTCGTCGATTGTTTACAGTTGCTGCGACAGTCAAAAACAAAATCAGACGAAGAGGGGAAATGTTTATCGCCGGTGGTAGCTGAATCGTTATCTATATGAGTATTACCAAAAAAGAGCCTTTTGTAGAACTTAGATCTAACATTTCCTCGAGACGCTTATTTGCAATTGCCATTTACGAATCCCAAGCCCCACTTCTATGCATGTGCTATACGTCTTCTAGTTGCTTACATAGTGCCCAGTTTGGCCTTTTTCTAGTTTTGAGTATGTGTCAGCTAATACATCCATTCATCCATATTTACCATATGAATAGTGCCTTTGTAGCGTCGCATCTACGAAGCTAGATTGATTAATACTCGGATGTGGCCACATACAGCGGATTAAAGAGACAACACTAGCCCTACAGGGTTACGTGAGATGTGAGTGTACATTTAAGAAAGGTGTAGTAGGTGCACAGGTAAAAATAAACCGAACTTGTAGTTGACGAAACATTCATTTCAATTGTACGCTTGTTTTCTCTCGGGCCAAATGTCTATGGTTCATTTTTGCGCGGGCAAATTTGACGTATATTGACTTTCATATAATCCATACTGCTTGTGCCGCGATATATACTTTTGCTCTCCGTAGCCGTAGAAGTTACCAGCTGGTCGACAGTAGTGAACGAAGCAGTCCTTAAATTTCCATAGACATCTCCACAGGCCTCGAGACAAAGTTCTGCTTGCAAAGAACGTATTTGCTAAGAAGAGCTGTTCGACAGATTTTTGTGCCTAAAGATGAGCAACTTATTAGGTGATATTGCGTTCTGGCAGTTCGCTCGGGCCGCACATTTCCCTCATATCTTGTCTTTTACTCGACCTTCTTTCTATTCTATCTGAGCCTTTACAGCTACTGGAAGGAAGCACAGGTATCATGGGTGCATGCTGTACCTGTGTTTGTTTAACGCGTGCTTTCGAAACAAAGACTTCCGCCCTTTACAAGCCCTCACCTCTCTCAGTTATTGTACACAACAAAAACAGATTGGCAAAGTACAGTTCAGGCGAAATTAGCGGCTCGGTTGCTCATTGCCCTCTCCACTACATCTCCGCGTAGAATAGACCAGGCCATCGCCATCGCTGCCAAATACACACAGGATGTACATCGACCCTCTTCCTTCCGTCGGAAGCTTTCCTCACTTGCCTCAAAACACCTTCCGGTGCGACACCAGCACAGAGCGCAACGCATCCATAAGGGTCTCCCACGAAACTGGAGGTAGCGGCAGTAGTACAAGCTTTTGCCACTAGCACTCACTTGAGAAACTAACAGAAGACTACGGACGGGACTTTTAACCACCCATCACCAGCACCCGTTTGGTTTCCGCATCAAAGATCATAAGACTGCGTCCGCCACCGTTACTGCCGCGATTCGCATCTTACTATTTTTACTTTCTCGACCGCATCCCGAGCTCGCTGGTAGCGACAAGCAAGGACTCCGAATAACTGAAAAAGCAGAACGAGAATGGCTCGAACCGAAAAACGTGCTAATGGCTGAATAGCGCCACCAGCCTGTAAGCAAAGCTTCTGCACATCCTGCTAGAGCTTTGCGCCAGAACGACGAAAGGTGTTCGTGGTTTTAATTGAAAAGATGGCCGCCACCAACGAGTAGGAAAGTCGCAGTGGTCAGACAGCATTAGCGTTAATTATGATTCTGAGGTGCACTCTATGAAATACTTTCGGACTTCATAAAAGCGGCCTAAAAGGAACGTGCCAGTCATAAGATAGCTGAAACATTTTTTATGCAGCCAAGTAGTAGTATAACGCTGGCATATAGTTTATTTAGGTAGGTGATAACTATTTTGCTTGCCCCTAAGTATATTAAAGGCTTTGATAGAATACGCGTTTTCTAGAAGCTACTCTACAGTTAGCTGTACGATCAATAGTAGACTTAATCAAAAACGAATTCTCCTATATATTAAGCATTCGTCTTGGAATCATTGCAGGGTAAAGAAATAAATATTTATTTTGAATTCAGCCATTTTGTCGACGCTTTTCAGTGCTTGAGCTAGAATTGGCGATCGTTTGCTCGGAGCACATCTTTGTTTATGAGTTGATCATCTGATTGTTTAACGAAGTTCAATAGACGATGTAAAATATCCAACGTCGCGTAAAGAATGAGAAATAGGGTATTTGAGCTTGCTTATAGGCTATAAGCACAAATATAAATATGTGCTTGATTTTAAGCCTCTACGCACCTGCAGAATTCGTGTTGGGTCCCGTAAGGGGCTGGTGGTGGACTTTGCTATGAGACATTATTTCACTTTACATATTGTCTTTCAGGTAGAACAATGAACTTCGGTGAGAGAATGAATCACGCCCTTAAAGCTGTAGTACGCCACGTCCCCAGGAGTCAAATCTAAACCAGTACGCCGAACTCTATGTGCTATAAAAGCACTGGTACCACTGCGACAAGTGAAAAAGGCTTACCAAACGTATGATGAAGACGAGCAAAGATCTATTATTATTATTATGACAAACGATCATGTATATATAATAATTTGACTAGAAAATACATCACTAAGGGCAACGAGTAAGACCCAGGATGTCTCATCGAACAGCTTTGCAATGGGTCTGCCGCATCAGTCCTGAAGTTTGGCATCTGAAATAGCATATCTAAGAATGTTAGGTCTACCAAAGGTTGCCGCTGAGTCCGGAGCATAAAACGTGTCGTGATCGTTGTTGCATGAGGTTTATTGAAATGGCTTAAGCGGAAAAACTAAAAATGACTCTCAAGTGTCCTGCTTTGTGGGGTTGTGGCTGAGTCGAAAGCTGGCGATGGTCTAGCACAATTCGAAGTGGTCACAGCGATAGCGTAACCTTAATCCCAGTAGACACGACTTGAGCAGCGGAGCTTTATACAGGCACTAATGCTAAAGACAGCAGATAGTTTATCATTTGATATATTCATGGGTGGATTGATTGGATTAGAATGGCTAAGTGAAGATATGATAAGTTCACAAAGGTATTCAGGGCTGAAAGACATTAAGTAAACTTTTTGGCTCAATACGTTAACTATATAAAGCTCGCTGCATGGCCAGCTTCAAGAAATCCGTTCGGGGTCGCACGACCCTCAAGCGGATAGATAAGTCACTCGCCGTTGTCCTGCGATATTCTAAAAGGCCAATATCTACATATACGTATACACATATGATCTATTCAAATACGAGGAATATATGTGCGGAAATCTCTATGATTTAGCACTTGCCGAAAAATCCAGTCATTGTAAGTTTAATCCTACTTATAACGATAAATTGCAGCAAGGGAATGGCCGTAATGCTGATAGGCTCCTATAGCTAGACCTTTGATAACTACAGGTACCAAACGGAATAGACCATACCATAAGTAAACGGTCATGGAAAGCGTCATCATTATCGTCGTCCGACTAATTCTCACGAAACAGACTAGACAAGCCAGTAACAGAAGCGCGTTGTCCCGTTGATGAAAGCGAAAAGTTAGCGTATTTTCTGGTCTACAACAAGTGCTACCGATAAGCTGATGCTACGACCTATTTAGAGATCATCATTCATGTTGAGAAGATGTCGGAGGCTTACCCCTGCACACATTTTGCGCCTTACTTGACAATGTACCCCTATCTCAATATACAGTCAGTGACACAGGTGTATGTGCCAGCGATATTTAATTAAACATCCACAGTTACACGGAAGCCTCCCGAAAAACCGGACGTGCTTAAGCAGGAGACCCGCCCACATTGATGACAATTATTTGGAATTTTCATTTTAACCGCAAGCGAACTAGTTCGGCGTAACTATTACGTTTATAGAATAATAGTCATTGTTTTTAGTCTGTTAGAAAGGGAAAGCCGAGGAGTGTCCATTGCTCTGAGATTTGATAGCTGTAATTGTCGGAGAAAAAAAACTATAAATGCTAACATGCATTCATTTGAGTACATAAGGTAGAAGAGAACTTACCCCCAAAAACTTGCGAAGCGCCCACGAGCCTTGCGCTGATCCGACTAACAGAGTTTTCGACAGCGCAGCATAACACAATGATAAAGAAGACCAATAATGCTAACGCGCAAGACGTTCCCGCCAGTGCAACGGCCAAACGCCACCACGGTGATGGAATCGCCCAGAAATTCGCATACCGACCACAGTCCATAATGATGTCGAGTCTGAAATGATGCCTTCGTGATCAACTGAGGAATAACCCGCTTAGTAATATCAATGATACCTTCCTTCGCATCTACCCGCTCGCTGTTCATGCATAGAAGTGTTCGCTCTGCATTTGTTTTATAAGTTATACATAGAGAATCTGCTCAATTTAACCTAATTAATAAAAAAAATTCTCGGGCTATCACACCAGGGATAATACTCAGTATAGGTTATAAAAATACAAACGATGTATATTCTGTTAGGGGAAGCGTGGTGTTTTTCTTTGACCTCATGAGAATATTTACTGGGCCAAGATATGACACATACAAAACAAAAACTTAGGTCATTTTACACTACAATGAACGATGGGGGTCTAATTGCTAATAACAAACCAGAATGGCTCGTCATCACACTGGCCGGAAGTGATCCAAGCAGTAAGTAGGGATGTTGGGTAAATTTAAGCTGAGTCGCCAAGACAAAAATAGCAAAACAAACAATTGGAAGGTCTCTCATCCAGCCGTTGCTTCTGTAATGACACACACACAAACGCATACACATGCATATATACACGCAGAGACACACGGCCCAAGCCAAAGCGTCGGTCCGAAAATAATTTCCGGCAGAAAGAAAAAAAAATGGAGGATAAATAGAGGGACCGAAGTCAAGGTCGAGAGTTGCATGAGCCTTCGTCACACTGTCGGCTTAGTTTTGAACGGAAAGCTGCTGGAAGCTAACCTTGTGGAAACCGACTTAAGCCGACTCGAGGTTGGTGTTTTTTATCCCATTTTTATTCGTACAGCGTAGCCTAACTAGCAATGGGGAACAATCCTGCCGAGCCAGCAGATCAATACAGAAGGAGCAAGTGGGCTAAGGGAAGCTATTGTTAACGATAGCAGAAGGACGCTTACCTACTGAGACGACAATGTTATATACACTCATGCTAAACACTTGAAGATAAGAGTCTGAGGCCTCTCGCGTGCATTATTTCCGCCTCGTAAAAAACTAAATGTGATAGTTACAAATGAATAGCCGAGAAAACCCATGAAGATTGGGTTAAAGCTGTTATAAATTTGCTATTGGTGAGTGATGATATACGACTTGGAATTGTGTGCAGTCCACTGGTCGGCCACTTTGAAAAAGCACAATTGAGAATACGCTAGCTATACATAATTGTGTGCATCGTTGTATTTAGTTGTCATCGGACGTCCTCCTTTGGTCATGAATAGCCACGCGTACGATAAATTTGACAAAAGTTAGCTATTATTTGCCGACCTAGTCATTAGATGGCAGTGTTAGTGAATTTTCTGTTCATTACAGCTGGCTTTAATTTTTTTATCTACAGACATATGTACCATTCATCGGTGCTTGTAGTGAGCTGAGTGAAGTGCCGGACAAAGACCCATAAGAATTTGTATAGGGGTCTGACAGCCATTGTGCATACGATATGTACACACGAGTACTATACGTAAGTGTCAGCCGTTGTCTACTAAGCAAAAAGTGTCTCGGCTCAGAGACCAACCGCTCCATGTATCTACTAGGCTTGCTTGCGTGTTTCTATATACTGGTCATTTCTGTGTGTTGAATACAAAATGTGTTGTTCCAACAATAGTATAGGGCGTTATGTGGACTTCCGTATCGACTCGGGACAATTATAACCAATTCGCTAGATAACGTGTGACGCCCGTGTTAGTCTGCTTCCGGTAAACGCATGGATGTATAGAACCGAGCTAAATCTTAGAAGTGTCTGTTAGGCGACGAACAAAACCCGCAGTTAATGATGCATGACGGATCTATCACAGACAAAATAACACGAATAGATCCATGACTACTCTAATTCCCTGCAATACATGACACTCTTATTCATGGGATTTATATCATGTACACGCTACTATTTTCAGTGTTCGTAGATGGTGTGGTCGACGCGGAAGCAGCATATTGCTCTGCTTAGCATAAACAACCCAAGGCAATCAAGTGGGCTTAGCACCACGTAGGTTGTTGGGTCTGAATTTGGATACGGCTTTGGCTTTAACAAGACCGCGCAATCTTTATCGATATCATGAAGGAGAAGCGTCATGTCGCTCAGACATGTGTAATTCTTTTTTGACAAGGACCCCTCAGTGTCATGGGACCTTTAATCGTTACGGCAAAACAGCTTAGGATTACAGTATATGAGCTTATGTAAAAATTAAGATAACACGCTTTCAAACGATAGGATATACTATAGCATTGCGGATCATGCCTACTAACTGCACAGCTGCATACCTACAGAGATCGAAGTAAAAAAAAAAAGAGACACAGTCACCAAGACTGCGAAATCTGTGAAGAGTAGTAAGGTGTTCAGTACGAATATATAGCCTTCTTACATTATTCCTTTTGTTGTTTCTCATACGATATACGGTATTAATGATAGCAAGCATACCCAGCGGATATACCAGCGTGACTTCTAAGGCCGAAACCCAGCGTATCATCCTGACTCCAGCGATCTGCAGTGCTAGAGCTGCGTATTTGAAGCACGAGAAATTTAAAAGGATTGCCTTGGGCGATATATATTATCTGGTCATCGGTGTGGATCCTGTCAAGAATGACATTAACTGGGTTGAGAATGGATATCCTGAACAATAATGGACCCAAACAAGAGATGTCGAACGGCCAGTGATGGACCCGTTAAGGTTTTTTCTAGCTGTAGTCGAAAATTTTTGTTAGCTGAAAAGGCACAGACCCACTAAATTAGCCGAACCAGTTCCAGAAGCATTCAGTTAATAGGCTGTGACTCGCACAATTGAATACAATGCTATTGAGAATCATGTTTGTAACGACAAATCGATAACTCTCGAAAACAATGCTGAATTTCCTATATGAAGAGATTGTCAAGAGTTGGCTAAAAAAAAAAAAAGTTTAAATATAATTGCTTACACGAATGTTATAGGCCTAGCCTATCAGCTTACTTAAGCAAGCAATCTACTGGTTTGCCATACTGGTATTATTATTACTAGCTACTCAAAAAAAAAAACTAAATTACCTGATGCCAACTTATGGAAGTGACGTAAACAGCTATAACTCTATAAAAAGCGACTTCGGTGATTGATGTTGGAATCTATTCTGCTGAGCCATCCTCTTATGCACAGCTTAACCGTTAGAGCATATAGCATTGGTCTATTCTACAAAAGCAGTCCTAATTTGGCCGTTGCTACAGCCGAGTTATTATCTAAGTGGGGCAGAAAAATACGTGTGACATTATACGTCGGAAAAACATCCGCCCATATGTCGCCGCCACTGCGGCCACTATATTTGACGCCTCAGGCGACAGGCCAAGCTCTAGACGCTAATGCTCTTTCCCAGCTCCTATACACGGGCAAAAGTCGCCTACGTACCACCTTTCCGTTACAGCCTGGCTATTTCGGGGTTAGAAAAACACCTCCTTGTAAAGCAAGCAGCCAGCGACGTCCGTGAAAGTAAACCAAGACTGTCTTCGGCCAATCTGTCCTTTATATATATTAAGCAAACAAGAGACTCCATGATTTTAATGCGGCCCGATTAGTCATATATACGCGCTCACACCACATAAACATACACACTACGATCGAACTAACTGTTTTAGTTAATTAAGCAATAACAAACATGGTGAAGCAGTACCCTCAAGTGCTATTATTTTCGCTCCATAAGAACTAAATTGAGAGGCCTCACCATCTGATTATAGGACTCACTTTTGTCAAACTTTTCGACAGAAAGTAGAACTAACTCAGAAAAATTTACCTCAGGCTACAATATGCTTACAATGCACTATGTTAATCAAGAAGATAAACATGCCATTTAAATTCAAGTATAAACTTCCTAAAATTGTCACCGCATTTTTTCTTTCAAAATTAGATATCAGTTTCAGTATACAAACCTCTCCACTTGCATTCACCCTTTAATTCAAAACAAAAAAGCACAGACCCGTGATTTTTAATTTTTATAGCAGGATTCCTGCAAGCGCACTATGTCTTTTACTACTAATTAAAGTAGTCAACTATAGAAAAAATTTAGTGGGCTATTTTTTACGAAAATTGGCAAATTTTAGGGCGCCGTTCGTGGTGCTTTCTTCGAGTTTGAATAAATCTATTTCTGGAATGTTGATTTTTTTTTAAATCAACATTCCAGAAACAGATTTATTATTTAGCGGCAATTCTAAACCCACGACTTTTTCAAACGATCAATCATCGGTTTACTTGTGCGATTCGATACATACGTAACTGCCTTTGTTGCAATTAGCTAGAAACTATTAAAAAAGACATTTAAATTATTTGCAATGGGATCCAATACTTGATATTAAAAACCCTCCTCGACGCGCCAGTGCCAAACGCCTTGCCACGATTGGTCTCTAAGATTGCTTCCCGCTGAATTTGCAGGCCGCTTCTGTCAAATAACTTTTATACAAACTATAACTGCTCGTTTGATAACATGAGAAAGAGAAACGTACATCCATAGGTAAGACAATGAAACTAATATTTTTTTACCTTTAAACGACTTTGGTATCAATTAATAATACACGCTGCTAATGGATGTACCTGTTTTTTTTAGTCCATGTATCGAATAACCTGTCATGAGCACTTTTTTAGTAATAGGACTACTTCGTAATAGGAGACAGTTCCTGGATAAAACGTGACTCTGCTAAAGAGTACCTATTAGAATCTGTGATCAGCATTATGCGACAATACTGCCCAGATAGACAAAATGTCTTTACAAAAACAACCCACAAATATTTCAGTGAGGTATTTTTAAGTGCGATAGTCAAAGCCTGAGTCACCCATTAACTATTACAGGACTGCAATCATTACGACCCAAAAATAGGGTTGTTGACTTCTACTAGAGTTTTAAAACTGCAGGCCGAATAGAGTATGCTATACTATATTACGTTTAATTGTTCGATATGACAGCCAATTTGATAGACACTTCCATGCATTTGAGCTTATACATCAGTAACGTAACGTTATGGCTCAGTGCCGCTACGCCTTGCATCACCAACTAAGGCCCCGTACAT